CCAACTCCATTCTTCCCTCATTCGTTAACAAGACCCCGAGATACTTGACAGCACCTTACCCTTTTTCAGCTCAAGACCATGGTCTCAAAATTATATTCCTAAATTATTCCATGTTCAAAACTGCATCTGTACCTGTGAAGTCATGGAGTTGCGGCAGCGTCTCCATGATGATGCCAATGAGAGGTAGGTAGAGCATGGCGACTCGAGCCTTGACCTCGGGATCGGCGTAACGAGGGTCCGAGTCGTGGCTGGACAGGAGGTTGTGAACAACGCTCACCACTTTCTTATGCAGACCAAACATTCTACAGTCAAACAGAAAAAAACCCCACAATATATAAAAGAAAACAGACRCACAGGAATAGTATTTTCATCGCACCAAACATACTGACCCCTCATTATCTGGGTCCAGTATTACTGACAGCTCCGATAACACGAGTCCAGCCAGAAAATGTTGCTCTCTGAACGGGACAGACAGCTCAAACATATTGGCTATTTTTTGGTCCTGAACGTGAGTGGAGAACCCGGAGCTCTACACAGGATAAGAAAGTTCAGCTTTTAACTAAAATATTCTGGGTTTTTTTGCAGCATCTGATACAAATAGTGATCTGCGAACACAATCATCCTCCTTGTTATTTTTTGTCAGACCTGTGAGGTTGCTGAAGACACAGATGGGGAAGGYGAGGCAGGTGGGGTTAGCAGGCTGCAGGGCAGATTTAGGGTGACGTAGTGCTCGTGACTACAAACAATTCGTAAAAAGTCAAGCCGTAAAGACTCCATCGTTGGGTTCTGCAAAGCGTAAAGCTTCGTGGAGACCTACACAGAGAACACGGGTACAGTGWTGTAAATCTTATCACGCTGAATTATATAATTTCATTTCAGATTTAAAATTTACTGAGTCAACTCAAACTTGGAATTTTTTYAACTGTTACGATGATCTGAGACACAAAGTAAGAAATGTACCTGTTTCCAGTAGACCCTGATTAATGTGAAGACAAAGCCTCGGTCCATGACTGACAGCAAGTCATTGAGAAAGAAGGCCAGACTGGTGTTCAGCCTCTCCACCAACTCCAGGTCCTGAATGGACAAAAATTCTAAGTCCTAAATTTGCTTCGTAAAGGATGAGAAAACATCAAGGGCAATATCAATTGTGTTTAAAAACATAATAGTGCTAGGTGTCACCTAGGACATGGTGATTCAATTAATTTTTGATACAGAGCTCACAACACAATACGATTCTTGATGAAGTGCAGCTCGGTTCGATTCTATTTTGATATTGATACATATTACTTTTAGAGACACACCGATATGAAAATTTTAGCCAATATCGATACCCGATATAATTATTGCTGTTATTGCCGGTAACCGATATTTACAGATATTACACAAGCACACAAATTATTTATATACATATATACACACAAACACACTTGTGTCTTCTTTCAATACCGTAAATAAAGGACCAGACCTCTGACATGGTTCCTTACTACAGTTATTCCTGGCTGTGCAGCATTAATATCACTATCACGATGAAACAAATGCCGCTCAACAAAATATTTCGCCTCCCAAAACACAAAGCTAGAAATTGGGAAATTAATCTCAGACGATAATATTGGCCCAGTTTTACATATCGGGCCGATACGATATTCTAAAAAAATGACCAATATCGGCCAATACCGATGTTAATGCCAATATATCGTGCATCCCTAATTACTTTATATTTATTGCTCAATGCAACTGACTCAACCAAACATTTTTTTTATAATTCTAAATAAAAATGGGCCAAAATATCTGCTTTTAAAGACAAAAGTGCTTCCAAAATATTGCTGGCCATTTTGTTCACTCATCAATCTCACTTGCAGCTTGCTTTTCCTTGTTCTGAACAGGAATCACACATAGTTATACTGCCCCCTAAGGGTGGGGAAGATCGATATATCCTTTTTTAAAAAACATATATCAATTTAGTCTGGCCCTTGCCTTCTTACACAGTTCCACTCAATTCTAGTTTCCCTTCACTGCTTCATCTGGGTTTTCTCCCATAGACAAGGATTTCTTCGGTAGAATTTTACCTGGGCCAATCAGCAAACAGGAGGGGTTTTGAATGACAATGTCGATTTTCTGCACAGTGTCTGCTTGTAGTTTAGCAATGRCAGTGGAGGAAGTGAATGAAGCCAGTCAGTGTTGACAAGGCTTGCAAATTAAATTAAATTAGTCTCACAAAGCCTGCAGCGGTGCATACAATTTCCGGTTAGCTTCTTAGCTTAGCTTTCGTCACAGTGAAACTGGCGCACATGCGTCGCGGTCAACCATTAACGGTTAAATCAGATCCGATCGTTTTAAACTTTAATAGAGGCCACGCCTCCAGGAAGCAATTGCTTCTCAACAGCCGAGAGTCCAGACCCTCTGTACGAAGCAAAGCGAAGAACAAGGGGCTGGTTTTTACCAGGCTAATATCAATATATTGAGWTTTATGCACAGCCCTACATACTGAAGATAAGTGTTTTGTAAGGTCTWTCAYTGAAGTACTTTTCTTGGCGTTCTTGTATGTTGCAAGCCTCTAAACATCAAACTGTAAAACATACAGCAGGATYTTGYCAAAAAACACTTGACCTGATTGTATTTACCTTCTGGAAACGAGACACAATATCCCCAGCAATGGTGCTGACCAGAGCTGTGATGTCATCCATGAAGCGTTCAGGAAAACGGTTCTTCCTGGGTGAYTCCAAGCGTTCGGTGAAATAAAGGTGGTGGATAATGCTTTTCACCTGTGGTCAAAGTGTTCGTTTAAATACCACACAAGATACATGTCATGCATTTAAGAATAGTGAAAAAAGTTTAAAAAAAATGTAAGCATAACCACGAGAGCTTTGTGCCGTACCATGAGTTCAAAGAAGAACCAGGCCTGTTGTAGAGCACCTTCTCGGACGCTTCCACTGCTCACCACCCACTGGAGGGCCAGCTCCTCGTGGAAGAGCTGAGCAGCAAATTCAAAATATATAAAGACAATGAGACGGAGCCGGAAATGCATAGATTTATAGAGAATGAAACAGAAAGCAAAAAAAGCCAAGGAGGAAAAAAGTGAGATGCCCGAAAAAGTATCCTTGTTTTGATTGACATAAGCAAACTGTATATAGCTAAAAGTACGAGTACACACTGGAAATATAAATCTAAAGTGTTGAGTTATGAGGTTATGATGTGCAATAAAATAAAACCCAATGGGTTGAAAATTTTGGTAACTGGTATATTAGATTTAGAACAAGTAAATTTTGTCCAGGTCCTTATAACCTGAAGGAGGAACCAATCATTAACACTGAAAAACTATACTCTAAAAAATGAAGGAACAAAATCCCGTAAAGCTACCCGAATCTGAAAATAAATGTCATTAAGATAAAGTCAGGTTGGATGTTTCAATTCAAGTAATCAATTCTAAATGGCAAATTATTACAAAATAAAATAAAATAATCACATTATTAGACAAATGCATTTCATTACTATGAAATATATTTTAGAAGTTTAACATCCTGACTACACTAAAG